TAGCTAATAGCATACAAAAAAGCAGCTTTCTGCATCAAGAAAGAACAACCTTACCACTGGAGAAGCAATTCCAAGCAACCCTTCTGTAAAACTTTCACTGTGAAAGATGTTCAAAGAACGTGGCCATTACAAGTTTGACAACGTATTCCGGGTTAATATAGCACCGCTCAAAATTTGGAATATGCGCAAAGGAATAAAATTCAAGGGGTGTCGCCCGGCATCGGGCGACATTGTCGCCAATGTGTTAATCACACTTTGCTAGAATCAAATCGACTGCCCCCAACTCATTATTGAAGAGCACCTTCTAATCTATCTAAACCTTACATGACAGCCTTCTACACCGACGACATCAGAAGATTTTCCCACGGAAACATGGTTCACGGTACGAGCTCAACGAGGTCGTCGAGGTACCATAGACCATTACGACGTCCCTGAAACGCTGGTCAAAAGCGGTTTTGCATAGTCACAGCTAGTGTCTCTAGAAGCTATTCAACAGTTAATCCATTGAAGAAATTATGTAGCAGCTTCAGGCCGGAGCGATTACGGTAAGCCTCGTTGAGCTCGACGGTGACGGCAGATGACGTCATATTCTGAAGGCGGGGGCAGTGAAGGAGGGCCTGCTTCTGCTTACGGGGAACACCTAAGGAATATTCGCCGTAAAACTTTCATTAACATCGGCTCCCTGTGCGACGAAAAGTTCGATGATGTGCGCCATGGGCAAAGTGTCTCTTTTTTTTGGCCACCCCTGTATAATGCGCTATGTCAGCCTGTGTGTCACGGTGTTTGTCTGTCACGAAAATCCTTACTTTCTGATGATTCACGTGGAGAGACCGGGTCAAGTGTGAAATGGGTGTACCCTATCGCGAAATGGGTGTACCCTCCGAAAAGTACAAAACACACATCAGCTAAGCGGAGCCCCGCCCACAGTGGGCGTGGCGTGCATCGAAATGAAGGTACTGAGGACCATGATTTCAAATTCAGTCACAAAACAGCCTCGAGACCGGGACAAAAGTGGGCATAGGTGTGCGGTTGGTAAGCCAGATCGAACTGAGGAGACCCACCCTCGGTGGGCAGGGCGTTCTCTAAAAAGAGGTGGTTAATGGTTTCGGTTAGGAGAAGGAGAGCCTACAGAGCAGAAAAAATAAGTGCAGGGAAGCAATGTCTAAGGTGTTCTCCAGCACACATGACGTGACGGAGGCCCGCCCACAATGGGCGGAGCGTGTCCTGAAGTGGACAGCGTTTCCTACAAGTCCTCATAATTCGGTTCCGAGAAGTCTTGAAAGCGGAAAAAAGGTGGATAGAGGTCAGAGAAGGAGGGGGGTTAAATGCTGGTGGTGGGCGTGGCGCGCACAAAAGTGGGCGGAGTTTGCTTCCAAACTTATAACTCGGTTCCAGAAGTTCCGGAGGCTGGGAAAAAGTGGATAGAGGTGACGGAGGAAATGAGGTCAACTGCCATTGGTGGGCGGGACATGCACAAAGTGGGCGGAGTTATCCACGAAATACTCGATTCCAAGGAGTCTCGGAGACCGGGAAAATGTGGAGAGACTTTGAACGGAAGGGGAGTCATATAGTCTCGGTGGTGAAGAGCATGGCGAGGTGGACGAAGTCTGCCAGAAAACGTTGCAAAATTATCGATGTCCCTGTTTAATACCACTTCCACTCGCGTGATGCTCGCGATGCGTGCGCCGCCAAACTGATGAAAATAGAAAATAATTCCATTGTCCTTATTCTTAGTTATTCAGCCATTCATTGTCATTTGTGGGTTATTTGAAAAGACGGCACTGGCTGAACTAGTGTTCCCATTTGAAGCTGAGAGATGTTTCCTAACACATTAACGACAGCGTGATGCGGTAACGCGTCCGACTTTGATCCCACGTTGCATATTGTGACGCGTCATCGCGTCTCACCCAAGTCTTCCCTTTGTTCTCGCGCATGCGCGAATTGTTTTCAAATTGTTAATATTCAATTCCATGGACCACACCATTACATAGCTGTCAACGACATGGTTCGACTTGTGATCAGATTTGCTTTAGTTTGGAAGCGGTTTTACAAGCGCTACGAATTCGGAAGTTTGTTTCATTTCTTATTCTCTACTTATTTTCATGACAGTAAAAGTAGAGGGGTATGAGTAAATACAAACCCATGCTCATAGATAAATGGATATTTTTTTCAGCATAACCACGTCGAAAGTACATTTAACGTCCTTACAGAGAAAAAAAGTAAAAATTGCTTCTTCATGACCATTACACTTTATTTTGATCGGAATTCAGTCGATATACCCATAGATTACACGCATTCCATATTACTGGTTTCATGTCATTCATGCTTTGCATACTGATCCCTCAAAATTTACGGATATAAGGTGAGGCGGCCGCGCTCGCAAAATCGCTCCTGTCCCACGTGGCCAAAAAAGCCGAAACGCGCACTGTCGTCCACATGTTAAATCAGAGCAGCACTCGTTCACAGGCAGCAAACGTGACACCACAAATGATGCTGGTTTGAATGAGGTTCATTTTCTGCATTTTTGAAACTGCACCGTCTGTATATCTTTTTGTCCTTATAATCACAAGTGCTGCAGAAGCGTTTGCAATCAGCAAGTTTTGTGGTGAAGGTATTCAAAATTCCCAGGCATGACGAGGAATTGGGAAATTGTAGAAAGTCGATGAATTGAGGAAGTGCAAAAGTATGTACTGTTTGTAGAGGGACCAGAAGGCGAGGTGATCTGCTCAGTGTCTAGTTTCATAGCATCCATATCCATCCGTTTTCAGTATTCGAAAGCTGTTGCGCACATTGAGGGAAGAGAATCGGAAACGCTCATCATATCTGCTTTACTTACAGCAGTCGAGAATAACACTTTTACGTCTAACGAATTACGTTGAAAAACTATCTCTAAGAATCCAGAGGTGAGCCTGCTTTTTATTTTGACAGTTTCGAGAACCTAGTCGTTCATTGAAATAAGAAAAATATTGAAAGCACACAGTTATGCATTCGACTGACAGTGAACTTTCTATCAAAAAGTATAATACAACTAGAGATTCTGTGTGTATGTAGCAAATCATTTTGAGAACTGGAGCCACAAGTCATTCCAGGGAGAAGTCAGTGGTTGAAGAGTGCCTCGTGGAAGTTCTGGTTCGATTTTATCTTGAAAATAAAGATCAACAGAATGAAACGCTTCTTACAGGAATTTGTGATCCTTAATGCTCAGGTTCGTTGACTTCTAAATTTGCTCAGTGTATGTTTTGTGGTGTATTGAATTAGATCAGGACCAGATGTGAATACAATACAGTGCGCGTCAATTGTTTATGCCACCCCTGATTTTTTTTCAGTTTTCTGACTTATTTGGAAATTTCGTAAATCGGCATAGCAACCATCGTTTTCGGCGTGTCGGAAAACTAAGAATGGTGTTGTTTGATTTTGGTTAACGCGTGGATTTGAATTGCTCTGTTCTTTTGAAGAAAATGGGCCGCGTCAATTGCTTATGCCATCCTAAAGTTTCTTCAGAATTTCTCATGTCTCTAACGCTATTCAGCTACGGTGTGCATGTAATACAAATGAGGAAATCCTCCACTTATGCAATGCACATGAAATGGCTGGCCATCCATAACTAGGTACTTCACAATATTAGCCCTTATAGTGGACGGTAGCAGCATAAAACGCTCTATCAGATAAATATATGTGTTCTCTCTTCTGCTCTTGTGCGATCGCTCCTGCTGCTCGTTGTAGACTCATCGAGGAGTGTATCCAGGCAAGAACTGGAGGATTCGAAGTGCTCAAGGAGCCTTCAAATTCACTTTTTTTGGCGCCGTGGTCAACTTTATTTGTGGTCTCGGCTCCCGCGAAACTCGAAGCGTTCACGCTCACACCCGCCTGGTACCCATCACTGAACTCGATCGAAGTTTTCTTATCAAGGCGATGCAATGATGGCCCATGCCACCACTTCGGTGTCCCGTTCAAGTTACAACTGGCCCATGTCATCATTTTCGCTCGCTCGGTACGAAAATTTTTCCAGAGAGAATCCGACAAAGTTCGGCGATGGGTACTACGCGGATTGTGAGTGCAACTCATATTCTCTCTGAACAGAGACTTTGTGAGCGTGAACGCTTCGAGCTTCGCGGGAGCCGAGACCACAAATAAAGTTGACCACGGATCTAACGCGTCAAAATGTGAATGTAAAGGTCACTTGAGCACGTTTGTGCATTATATAAGTGGAGGATTTCCTCATTTGTATTACATGCACACCGTAGCTGAATAGCGTTAGAGACATGAGAAATTCTGAAGAAACTTTAGGATGGCATAAGCAATTGACGCGGCCCATTTTCTTCAAAAGAACAGAGCAATTCAAATCCACGCGTTAACCAAAATCAAACAACACCATTCTTAGTTTTCCGACACGCCGAAACGATGGTTGCTATGCCGATTTACGAAATTTCCAAATAAGTCAGAAAACCGAAAAAATCAGGGGTGGCATAAGCAATTGACGCGCACTGTACTATCACTATCAGCCCTTTGGCGAAGATGTCACCTAATATTGAGTGACGCCCAATATTGGTTGATTTTACTATACTGGTTACTTACCCAATACTGATTTTTGCGTAAGACAATGTCAGGGTGGAAATTATCGGGAAAAACGGTGGCCGCATGTGTCGAAGTTTTGTTCAGGACGAGAAAACGGATTGCTTATTACGGACTTTGTCGGGTATGTATACCCGTTTGCCTGTATCGTCCATGTGGCAGTTGGCTCCTGCTCACCTCATTGCTTATGCTCGAAAAACTATCGAACGAGTGTTTATGGCTCAAATTCATGCTCTAGCATTTTATCCAAACTTGGATGCTGATCGACATCGTGATGAGTGAGTGTTTCTCCTTCCTTCTGAATGTTACGGGATTACTCTGAACAAAAGGTCAAGATACTGACAGAAATGTGGTTGCTTTTCACAATCTTTGAACTTTATTGAAAGTGGGAGGCGCATTTTTAAGCCGAGAACGATAACCAAGGAGATCTTCAATGATTTGGCTGAGTTTGTAACGTGCTACAAAGTCCTCTGTTTCACTTTTGAAATGATTTTTTATTCGTGCGGCTCCTGAAAATTGTGTGCTCTCTCACCGTTGCTAAAAGTTATACACTGCGTTCAATAATGATACAGCCACCTAAAATTTGTTCGAAAACTTAAAGTTCATAGAGTTTCTGAAAAACTGTCCAGATAGAAAATGTGACAAATTTCATGGCGAGTTCAGATATCAACACAAAAATCCATGTCGAAAACACTAAAAAATTTTGTGCTTATTTTTTCAGAAGAGGTCGATTTTCCTATGTTCAAAAATGATACAGCCACCCCGTGTTTCTTCGTTGAAATTCATTTTTGCTTCATGAAACTGATTCGCAGTTATCAGGCTTTCACCTTAATGTTCCCACAAGATAAAAAAGACAGTTTGTTTTGAAAAAAGGTAAACTGTAGCAAAAAAGGACCAGGAATCGTCAAGCAGTCATATTGCGCAAAATTGAGTCAAAGCTCGGTTAACAATCTTTTCTGGAATCCTGTAGGTTATGGAACAAAGAAGAGCTCTGGATGTTCATCATTGCTTTTTGGTCAATTTAAACTTCGCATTTTGGGGAAACATTTCAATTTCATCGAACAGTGCCCGGAATTCCAGTCTTCTTTCAGAATTAAACTTTCAATGGATATTGTTTGGGATGTGTTGAAGATTTCCGAGGTCATTCTTCAATGGAGAATTAAAGAAACCTTGTTTGTGAAAAGAAATTCTCTCGAAAACTGAGACATTTTTTGCTCGAAAGTGTAGCCACGTCCACTGGAGCAAGATCAGTTCTTTTGTCTGTTGT